CTTTCCCATGAACTGCACCCTCCCCACCCGCCATGTTCATGAAACCCACCTACACCCAGTGGTAAATAGAGAATTAATCAGCCCATGCACACATCTCACCTTCATATACACAACACTGGTGAGCGCACATGCACACTTAGCACCTGTGCTTTGTAGATTAGATGAAGATATGCAGTGTTTTCCTCAGCAGTAACAGGCTCCCTTCTGACAGGTAATTACACAAGCAGATTGCTTTCATGGCGTTCCTACTACAGTAAAGGTCACAATTTATCTGAGCGAGAGATTATAGGAAGGTCAAAGATTGGGATCTATCAACAGTCAGCAAACAGCCTGCGACCATTCTGCTGCTGATGTACCCATCAAACTCGGACATTTGCTTGAGATCCACAGGTGGCACTGATTCCTAAACGTACTGGAATCACTTTTCAGTGGCAGAGCAGGTCGGCCAGCACGATACAAAAAAAGGTCCACTTACTAGGATTTTCTGAAGCTTTCACCCTACCACACAGTCTTCATCAGCAGAAACAGTCTGCACAGTTGTCATGGAGATGTTGACACGTAAACACTGTAGCTGTTACAGCTCCATCTGTAGCACTTTTAGGACCAAATATTAACATCAAAGTTCATTCTTGACATTAGTTTGACTAAAGGTCCACTGACTAACTTTGTTCAGCAGCTCGTATGTCAACATCTCCAAGTGAGCAACCTTCATCAGCTGATAAAGATCCTGTGTAATGGATGAGAACTCTTTGTTTAATGTATATATTTGTTAAGTTGTAGGCGACTAAAACTACTTGGTTAAAGATTATAGGAAGGTCAAAGGTCAAACCATCCACCCTGTCCTCCTCCCCAGGACGTTTTGCGGTGCTATAGCAATGTAATATCTCTGCCTTTGGTTTTGAAAAAGAACACTGCTGAGATGATCAAAAAGTCAGAAATATGCAAACATAGCTCATTTACCGACTGCTGTTTCCACGACAACTGAGCAGACTCCATCTGCTGCTGAAGAAGACTGTAAGATATGGTTAAAAGCCCCAGCTAAACCAAATAAGTGAACTTTGAATTAAGCTATTTTTTGTCAGACTATTGTGAAGTCTATGTTAAACATTTACGTGTTTGAAGAAACAACCATAGCTGTCATTTTTCTGCTGGGACAGTCTCGAAACCTCATGAACCTCTCCCTTGTTGCTAATTATTGATTAATTATACCAGTTTTATATCTGGAACATTAGAACTTTTTGAATGTCAGGCACACTTATATGGTTACACACATTTACATTGTCAATGTTATATGAATCACTTTGGTCATTCAAGCACCAAATCCTGGGCGACACCAAACCATTTCCTCCAAACTGGGCAAAGAAGAGCACATTGCCACATTGAATTTCCCCTTCATGCTAATCTGCAGGACAGGAAATCTGTGTGTTATAATAACAGAATAAATGAGCCAACGCTTCATTAATAAATAAATAATATGATAAGAGTCGCAGGCAAACAGAGCTTGCGGTAAATTGAGCTGGGGACAGATCCAAGAACAGGAACTCATTAATATGCGATTATAACATGTTCAGGGAAGAGAGTAGAATTTTATTAAAACCTGACACGTGCAGAAGAGGAAGCACATATGGACAAATTTAGAGTGACACGCTGATTCACACATTACTGTTTTTAAAAGCTGCTCTCCTGTTTAATGTTTTATTCATGGGTGAGGAGCAGTTGTGTGAATGGATGGATAATATGAACAGTGTTGGAGGGACCTTACTTTGTAAAGTGTCCTGAGATGACTTTTGTTGTGATTTGGCGCTATACAAATAAAATTTGATTTGATTTGATTTGATTTGAGGGAGACACAGGAGAGTCCCAGTTGCTTTTACAACCCTGCCTCTCAAACGCTATTCAGCAGAGCCACCTGATGATTCATTGTGCATTCACAAGCATTTAACATCCTGCAGGAGTCACTTATGCTGCTGCAACCGAGACTGTTCACATGCACAAAAAACAAATATGCTGATCTGTGTAACTATGACTATAGGCCGCTGCTGGAAGGATGAGGTGATTAGGCGGGTTTACTGGAAAGTTAGATTTCTAAGGTTGCGGCTTCTGAACTGTTCATGTTCTGCCTGATATCCCTACAAATATGTTTATATTGGCTGATTCTGCACCCCACAATTTATGTCTGCAACCTCAGTTTTATCCATGTGTTTCCAAGTGTTGCCTAACACTTACCATATTAACTTTAGATTACTGGCCATAACCATAATCTTCCTCTAACCTTGACCATATCTTTGCTGTCATTCGCTGTCAAAGTGAGAATTTAAAAGAAATTTTTGCAGAATAAACCAACATTGCTGTGTAGCAATAAGCTTGAAGAATTAGTTGTTTTTCTGTTTCATATCAATGACCTGTCAAATTAACCCCTTAAACAGTTTAAGATTCAACTTTGGCAGTTCACATTTTCAAAAATTCCTCTGACAGCGCTCGCACAGTCAGAGGCCGGCATCTAATGTGAACACAGGTGATTTTTTGCTTTAAAAATGGCATTAATGATAATCAGCTTGTTACTGTTTCATTTTCTGTCAGTTGGTCATTCAGTGAACTGACAAGCTTTTTTGGCTCTAATTCAGTTTAGAATTATGTAAAACAGAAAAGCGGCAAAACACTGTTTTCTCTTTCAGCAGTACATGGAGCAGTGGTTGTGTATCTTGTGGCTGAAAACCAGAGCAACGTCTTCACGTCTGAAAATCTGTCTCTTTGTCCTTTACAGCCCAGCAAAGAGCATCTATTTATGTTTGTTTGCATGAATACAAACACAGTGTGTACATTCATGTCCACATCCTCCCAGTTTAAACTTCTACCCCTCCTTGTTTAGGAGCGTCTGCTAATGAGCCTACTGCCCAGGAATGTTGCCATGGAGATGAAGGAGGACTTCCTGAAGCCGCCTGAGAGGATCTTTCACAAGATCTACATCCAACGTCATGACAATGTCAGGTATGGGGGGTGTTATGACAACTGTGGACCACAGAGGTGTGTGCAGAGGCTGCAGTGTTCAGATCCAGGTGTCATCTACTGTGACGTCAAGGTCAAGAATAGAACGAACACAATTAAGATTAGCCATTAGATGCAGTCAAACTATATAAAGGTCAGAGAGAGAAAAGAGACGGAGCATTGCTGCCACCCCCGGCAGAACTGATAAAGGCCATCTGTATTTATGGTGTTGCATTGTAGATAGATTTTTACATTTGCATGAAAATTATATTGAAACAAAACAATGATTGCAATATTATTTTATTAGTGAATACTAAACCCTTGAGAATGTTGTTTTATTAGAAGGGCAGCAGCAGCCAACAGTAGGTCTGGTCTGCACGACTTCTGTATTTGAAGCACACCAGTGACATTTTACCACCAACGGCTTTCCAGTTACTCAGAAACGCTCAACAGCCGTTTATAATTAAACAGGCTTTTTGTTGCAGCTTTCAGAAACGGCCCACTTCTGTCTTGGTCTGGCAAAAGTTTTGACAACTTTTTTTTTAACTTCTGGCATCACACTGTGGTGAGATTTGCTTGAGAAATACTGGTTTAACAGCACTTAAGTAACAAAGTTAGAATGTATATATTTTGTGTTACAGTGAGTTTCATTGTTTTGTGTCTGGGCCACAGCTTGACTTCTTTTAAAATTAGAGCTGTGTCAGCTGTGTTTAATGTAGACCTTGATGACTCTGACACAGGTAATGGCACTGGACTTGAACACTGGCGACTAAAGACACAACTTGGACTCGAGGTTTAGCGACTCAACTACAACACCGGGTTCCTAATTGCTGAGTAGAAGATGTCCCTGATTTATTTCACATTACCACTGTAGGTTGAACATCTTCGGGTGCGTGACGATGATCACACAAAAAGCAACTTGATGACATTTCCTCTGGTTCTCATCTTGTAAAGTACCATTTTGTAAAAACATTATATTAATAACAATTAGTTAAATAACTGAGCAGTTGAAAAAATTAATCAGCATCAGCAGTGAAAACAATGACTTTCCTGCAGCTCTGTCCTTGTGAATTTTATCAGCCTGTTCAGTAGCCACTTCTATTGCACTTGTAATGAAGAAAATATTAGAGAGCGTGAGAACCTGGCCCGACTTTGAGCTGATTACCTTCCAGCAAGACAGGAGAGCTGTATCAGTGCTGAGTGTGGGAGTGAAGGGCTAGGTAGCATGTCAACAGCACTCCTGTCAAGAGACAATCCTCTCCACTCTCTGTCTGCTCTGCTCCCACACTCACCCTCTGTATGAGAACATCACCGCCCGTTCACCAGCCTGGCTGCTGCGCTGGCACTCAGCCAAGCATCACGCTGCTGCACTCAGTGAGCCAACTCCCGCTCGTCTCCAGGGAGCTGCTACAAATATACACAGATTTACACATATAGACATGGCAGTAAAAAAAATAACAATATCAGCTTTATGTTGCAGAACAGGGGCGTGATATCTCCCTGATCTGATCCCCGTTTGTGTGGCCCCAAGAACATTTAATCGTGCATCTATTTAGCTCTGACACTGCTCTGCTCTCCCTCTCTCCTGTCTCCCTTTTCCCCCTCTCCCACCACACACCAGCACGACCTGCAGGACAGCGCCATTTAAAGACACAACAGAGCTTTTCTGCTGAGCAGCAGTCGTGATCCTGGCTTTGCATACATCAGGCTCCTGAGAAACTACAAATATGCTGCCTAAGACAGCACAGCAGCTCAGTCACGATGCAGAGGACAGGCCCTGGTCACACAACTAGGGCTGGTTTTGACCTCACTGCCATTTGGGTACTGCAGCATCAAAACTGGTGATTTCTAAATCTGATTTCCCAGTTCAAATGCAACCGTTATTTTGGTGTGTTTCTATGCTAGCATTTGCTAATTAGCACTAAACACAAAGTACAGCTGAGATAATGGAGAAAATGTCACTTGTTTTACTGGTGGTCATAAATCTAGTACCAACTTGGTGCTGCAGTAGAAGGAAAGTTAAGTGGTTACTAAATTGGCTAGAATTTTTCCTTTGGGGAACATGAACATCTGTACCAAATTCCATGATAATCCACCTAATGTTTAGGATTCATCATTTGGGGATAATGAATGCCTGAACAAAATTCAGTGCCAATCCATCAAAGAGTTGTTGAGATTTGTCAGTGGCAGCCCTATTGACTGCTAGTCACATAAACCGAGCATAAAAGTTCAGCCTTGACCTTAAAAACAGTAGCTTGAGCCTTCAACTACATGGCATAGTCTTCCTCAGTGGCTGAGGCTTGCACAGATGCACTGGAAAACCATGAGATGTGAACGCATCAGTGAAAGCTGGTGACTGGGCCTTTAGTTGTATGTGTTCTTTTGGAAAGCAATGACAAAAAATTTCATTTAGACTTTAAACTTGGCTTTGTTGTTAAATGAAATTGGCTATTTTGCAGTAAGATGTAAGGTATCAAAAAGGCTTTGTTTTGATAACAAACTCAGGTGTCACACTGGCACTGGTATTAAAGTATTTCAAATATTACCCATCTCTGTTTCCAGCCCCAGCTTGGGTGCCTCGGATGCCTCCACAGGGAACAGTAATGTTTTTGGACTGAGAGTCAATAAGATCCATAACGCCTTGTTTTGCAGCCATCTGGTCTGCCTCTGAAAAAATGACTGAGGGGCCAAGTAGCTTTCAACGCCTTTCTCAGTCTCACTACAGCAGCTAGCCAGCAGCAGGCAATTTAGCTCTGTAATTGATTTAGTGGTTGCCCTAAAAGATGCATTCACTCATCAGGGATTGGATTATGGCACGCACAGCTTGCTTCCCCTTTGATCGCCATTAGCCAGTTTCTCTGCTTCAGTGTAATCTGTGTTTAGTTTGTGTCAGAAAAGGGAGAAAAACGCTGTTCAGTTAGCATCACCTTCCGGTCTTTGTAGAAATGGTAAAATATTTGTATAGTGCCTTTCTATGCTTTACAGCACACTCAAAGCGCTTTCACACTATTTGGCCATTCATCCATTCGCACTCCCAAACACTCACACATTCACACACCAGTGACATCACCGGGAGCAACTGGGGGTACAGTGTCTTGCTCAAGGACACTTTGACATGTTGACTGGACAAGCCGGGAATCAAACCGCTAATCCGCCGGTTAGGAAACAACCCGCTCTACCTCCTGAGCCACAGCTGCCCCCGAACTGACTCTGTATTGTCTTCAAAGCTGCAGAGTTTACTTCCTGGAGAACACAAGGAAGAAAAAGAATCAGCAGTCATGATGAGTTGAGCTCATCAGATTAAAGTCTGTTTCTCTCTCCTGGCAGCATCCTGTTTGCAGACATTGTGGGTTTCACCAGCTTGGCTTCTCAGTGCACTGCTCAGGAACTGGTCAAACTGCTCAATGAGCTCTTTGGGAAGTTTGATGAACTTGCTACAGTAAGTCCTCATTCCCTCACTCCTGTATCACCTCTGCTTTAATATGAAAATAAAAAACTAAACAGTACTCTACTCACTATATTCTAAAATATTCTCAATATGCTCAAATTGAATGCAATATTCTAAGTGTTTTAAGTAGCTTTTATATTTTCTTAGCACACAGGGGCAGCAGAATACGCTTTCAATACCTTTAACACTGACACACTGGGTAAATCCCAATTCCCTTATTTGACTGCTAGTCGAGCGAGGATGTTCCAAATCTCCTATTCCTGCTCTGAGGAGTTTGAAGACTACCTGGAGGAGACGTCAGCAAGAATACACAAGAGCATTCTTCACCGAAGCCTTTTATGAACCGACATGCCCCTTTATTGGAAACTAGTTGGTGATCGGACGCTTCAGATGAAGGACTGGAAGAAAAGACACCTCTTGTTGGTATAAATGTGTTTCCTCGATTCCTCTCGCCTTGCATCTTACATGGGCAAGACTAAGACACAAGAGGTGAATACCAATGGTCTTAAGACATAATGATGTAACGCAATGTTTACCACGGTTCTTGTTAATTGTTGCCCGCCATTGTGTATATCAAGCTTCCATGAGACAGGGAGAGGCAACGGAAATGGATGGATTCAGTCAGAAATAAGGCCATAAAAACATGGAACCATTTTAACATCCTTTTGATGATAATCTTTCCATGGGAATAAACGCACTTGTCACTGCTTGTAGCAATAGCATTGCATTATGTCATCCCCACCTTTCACCCACAGTGCACAGTGGTAAACACTGTGTTACATCATTTTGTCATAGGTCCATTCCTCAAATTGCATCTACATTTTCTTCACTTGTGTCACTTCCTTGTGTTTTAGCTCCACCCACGTAAGATGCATAGAAAAGATGCAAGCACAAATGGTGAGGAGAGAGGACCTGAGGAAACACATTTTAGCTGATGTGAGACGTCCTTTCCTTTTATGTGAAGCATCCAATCACGAACTGTTTTCTGACAAAAGGGCGTGTCAATACGTAGCAGATGTCCACAAAGGATACACTCATGTATCCTCGGTTATAGCTCATCCAGGCAGCCTCCTTGCTCCTGGATGGAGCGGAAAAAAGAACTTTGAGACATCCTTCATCATGGTGGACCAGAATGACTTCCGGGTCTAACGAGGATTGAGGTCAAAGCAAAAAGGGAATTGGGATTCACCCATGGATGCAGTTAAGGGAAGTGGGATCTACCCACTATCACCTTATAAAGTTTATATAGTGAACATGTTAACAAACTATTGCCTATTTACACATTCAGCAGACACAGTGACGTTAAACATTCATTTGGAATTTGTTTCTGCTACAATTCACACTCCTTTTAGCTCTGTTTTGCTTTTCACCACCTGATACAAACATCTGGCTCTTTTGCTGCTAGATCCTCCTTTATGTATCCCAGCTAATCTCTAGCTAGAAGACAACGTGCCCTTTGTGGTTGAGAAACTATATAATGATAACAGTGTTTCTAAAACATATCTTTGCAGTTAGTGGAGTTTCTTCTTGTTTTTTAGCTGATGAATATTCTGAGACTGATAAGTGGCTAGCTAAAATGGTACTGGTAGAGTACTAGTGTATTCACTTTTTGTTTCAGCAAGATAAAACACACAAGATGGTGAAAGCGCAGTGAGGCAGGCAGGCTGGCTCTAAGTGACTCCAAACAGCTCCTGTTTCAGCCTGTTGCTCCTCTGCAATACAAACACCCTCCAAGAAAACAATGTATTATTTAGTCCTGGAGCTCATTTATTATGTCAAGCCATATATTGATCCAAACAGTGAAAGTAAAGCTGGAGAAGCTGACTGACATGGAGGAGGAGGAGGAGATGAAGGTCAAGAAGAAGAAGGAACTAGAAGGGTGAAAGATGAGTGAATGAGTTTAGACAGACGGGACATAATGGCTAACGAGGTGGGCTGTGTGTGCGCAGTATTGACACTATTGCAATAAAGAGAGGTGTTGTCAGGGACCAAGCAGTAAGGCAAAAGACACAGCTTCCAAAGTTCAAAATAAAGGGCTTTTTATTAACCCAAAAGTAAGAAAAATACAAAATTAACATCAGATAAATTGGGCCCTAAAAGAGGTCAACAAAAGATAAGGAAACTCAAAATACAGCAAACTGAACTTTCTAATGCCTCAACAAAGCCAATTGACACACATACACAGGGGAACATATATACTGGCTGGCCAAACCAATAACACACACAAGGGATAAACTAAAGACACTACCAAAATAATCAACTAATAAACACTTAAACAGACAGTCTGCTCTCAACTAAATATTTCCTTTAAATGTAAAGAAATTAACATAACTTGACAAATAAAGTTCTAACATAAACTACCAACAAATAAACAAATTTCTCCCAAACTCCCCCCTTTCTTATATTGGGCACTTGGTGCAGTCCAGGCCTAGTGGGAGGTATTTAAACCTGCTGCTTCCTCAGACCAATCTTTTGGCTGAACTGCCCCCCCCATCCATGGACCAGGAAACACGGCAACTCAAAAGAAAAGGAAAACATTAACAATACAAAATTAATCAAACGTGCATGCTCATTGATCAATTGTGTATGTCTAATATAAATTACACACCCAAGTCCATGGCTGGTGGTGGTTTAGGCCAAGACTGAGGCCTTTACAGGTGTGTATGGTAGCGCACAGCGTGGCGTAAGCCTGTGTAGTGTTGTTCGCTGGGAAAGATTAGGTGAGCGATAGGGTGTCTGCTCCCAGACTGCTCATCATGCCAAACTGCATGAGCCACACACATGTACACATAACGAAAACACACAATCATTCAGTCTTTTGTCATAGTCTTATCTGTGCTATCAGCAGACATACAGTACAGCTCAACACATGCCAACAGACACACACGCACAATGTACTTGCATTACCAAAGTTAAAGTAACCCACTTTCTGTGGCTTGATGAGAAATAGTAGTTGAAAACAATTAGTCGGATGCATAAGTATTTGGACAAGGACACAATTTTGATAATTCTGCACCGCCACAATAGATTTTAAATGAAGTAGTCAGTACATTTTAGGAGTGTAGTCATCCAGCCTCAATTCAGAAGGTTTTACAAAAATATAACATGGCCTGTTTAGAAATTACAGCCATTTTTATATATTTATTTTCAGAGGGTCAGAGATGATTGGACAAACTAACATAAAAAATATAATTATTTTGTTTAATACCTGGATGCAAATCCTTTGCAGTGAGTGACAGCTTGAAGTTTGTCATGAAATAACATAAATTGAGATTTATACCCTGTCGTATTAGTGAGAAGGAAGTTCACTTTCAACATGGCTCTGTCACAGCTGTAAGCCTGTCTGACTGCCGTATACCACGCAACACATTTATTCCTCGGAGGTTCAGCCTAAACACAACCATTACAGACACACATCAAACATAACCCTAAACTTCACTTAACCATAAGACGACAGGAATTAATCAAGCCTAACTGGGGACATAGACTTTGCACACAATTGGACAAACCATCCCCAGTCAGCTGGCTTAAAGATATCTTTCTCTTGAAACAGGTTTGCTGTCAGCTGATAATTTCTCTCTCATTTTTTCTCACACACACACACACACACACACACACACACACACACACACACACACAGATTCTTTTCCTAGTGCTAGGATAATCATCCACGTTCTGAACTCTCACATCTTCCCATGTCAGAATCTTTCTGCACCCGTGAGCAGAAAACCAGAGCACCAACGTCTCCTCTCTTCTCATCCCTGCCTCTTACCCTGCAGTTGCCATGAATCATCTGTATCTGTGTGTGTGTGTGTTTGTGTCTGTCACTTAGAGGCTGTCTGCAAGCTACGCTTTGGAAGGTCTACCATTCAGAGTTTCTGATGACTGTGTGTGACACAGTGCCAAAGGAAAACTGTGTGTGCAACTAAACTGAAGCACGCGTACAGTACTTTTGCAGGCGATCACGTAGCTGTTTGTGCTTTCTTTGCAGGTGTGTTTGTGTGTGTCCAGGTGTGTGTGCCATCATAGCTGATCTGTCTGGGAATGTGTAAGTGTGATTCTACTTCAGGAGCATGTCAGAGCAATTGGAGTTGGTCTCAACAACAAACTCACACTGCTGCACAAGCACACATCTGATTTTCATGGACAGAGATGAAGCTGCAGAATCAGTAGAGTTTCTCTACAGTTAAATCTCATGTAAAAGGAGTTAAAGTGCATCCTTTCTTAATGCAAAGTGTGAATAACTTGGAGCTCATCTATAGATGTAAGTTATGACTTAGTTCACACTGTTTTCTTCATGACATGTTGAAATTTTGCTTTTTTTTCCCCCAAAAGAAACTATTCAGTCATCAAGTTCATGTTTTTAAAAAGGTATTTGATGGTATGGAAATGTGTATTTTGGTTGCTTTTACAGCTTTTATTGACAGTTTGATGCTGTCATTCCACTTCTGGTCACTACTGCACAGAATCTGGCTGAAAACAAGATGGCAGCTGCTATACTTACTATTTTGGCTTCATTTTTGCATAGTGGAGGGAAGTGGTGATGCCATGTCCATTGTATATACATGGTTATATCTAAGTATAGCTGTTAGCTGATGGGCAAAGTTAGCTCAAATATCTGCTGGTCTCTCTATAGGAGAATCACTGCAGGCGGATAAAAATACTGGGGGACTGTTACTACTGTGTGTCAGGACTGACCCAGCCCAAGGCTGACCACGCCCACTGCTGTGTGGAGATGGGCCTGGACATGATTGACACGATCGCGTGAGTCATGAAAACACAATCATACACTTACTCAAAAGTCTGTCAGGAAACGGAGGGAACGTGCCTTTGAGCCACTGGAAGACTTTTAATGTGAATGTTAAAGTTAGTTTTATTGACATTTGCATAACAGTCATTCAAAAAGAGCAGCATGAAAGCAAACAAACAATAAAGGGAATAAAAACATTATTTCAGTTAAACAGACAGAACTGTGGAAATGTACCTTATGCAATGTATCAAGACAACAGGTAAACCTGGAGGAAGTTTGGAGTTTGATTAAACAGTGTCAAAAATAAAGGCCTGGTTCTGCTTCTCGGGTTAATAAACACAACTGTGAGAATATCTAGTAAGATAGCTCCTAGACCCGATTCCTATCCGACCTCTCACTGTGTGAACACTGTCAGAACGGTCAGATCAGAATCCATGTGGTTGTTTTAACGTTTCCTCCTCTGCACATACGGCCTGTCGTCATCATTCAGCATCGACCCCTCACAGACCGGTAACAATAAACATGGAGGAAGGGGTTTGGGAGGTAACGGGGCCATTTTAATTTTTGCACAAATACTGTTGTTTTTACTCTTGCACACGTGGCTCACATTTCAGGTCAATCTGTGCATGTGTGGCAGTTTAGGAGCTCAGCTCATGATACATTTCACTTACACACATGGATGTGACACATCAACACAGGAAGATTGGAACTGATAAGAAGCTCAAAAATGGATATTAATACCTGTGAACGCAGCCTCAGGTGTGATTACAATTTATGCAAAAGTAATACTAATACTAACACATGATGTAGGTAGAGTTTAGCGACAAAAATTAATTGGTTTTCTTTTCACACAACTAATCTTCCACATGCATGGACACTGATGCTGACAACACAAACATTGGCAATTTGTGACTAATCCAATTTGTGACAAATTTACAATCAAGAGCACACTTGGTGGTCCATCCCTTCCCCACCAGCATGTTGTCACATTCGAAGACTGAACGCCTTTTACGTCAGTTCCTTGTGTGAGCACACGCCTGTCATGTTCTTTCCCCACTGCGCTGTCTGAGTGGATAGATGCTGCTGTAGGAGTCCTTTATCTCAGACGACAGGTGCTGCCATACACACTCACCCCTCTGTGTGTGTGTGTGTTCGACATCCCTCCTGCCTGGCAGACACACCACATTTTCTTTTTCACCACCCTGGAAACACACACACACACAGTTACTTCAACCCTCCACCCTTCTCCATTTCCTTCCTCTGCTCCGTCCATGACTCTGGCTCTTGTCTGAAGTGACTGACCTTCAGCTGGTGACAAGCATTGTGTTAGTGATTTACTGCAGAGAGGAGGATTTGGAAAAGCCCTGCTTTATCACCCCACAACATAGCAAAGCGAAGGGTGGTCTGTCTTGGGTGCACACCTGGATCCAGATCTGCACCCTGAAACTCTTCACCCATGCTTTGCTTTGTGGCCTGCGAAATCTGTCCATGACATTTCTTTAAAATTTTTAAATATCCTGCTAAATGACAAATCGGCAACACATTTTTTGGGGGTTTGGTTCATGACTTAGAGATTAAACTTGCCTGTCTTTCTCCTACAGGTCGGTGGTGGAGGCGACAGAGGTGGATCTGAACATGCGTGTTGGTTTGCACACAGGACGGGTGCTGTGTGGCGTGCTAGGCCTCAGGAAGTGGCAGTATGACGTCTGGTCAAACGATGTCACGCTGGCAAATGTGATGGAGGCCGGAGGGCTGCCTGGGTCAGTACTGACTGTTAACACCCACTGAAAGTGGACTCGCACATTCCGTCAGACACAGTATCCCAGCAACAGAGTTAGAAAAAGGCTCGATGATGTGTGCATCAAATAATAGTATTAATAGGTGGAGAAATGCAGGTGACATGCAGGGACATGACATGTATTTTCACAGACTTGTCAAATGTCCCGCATAAAGGATATTACTGACATTGTCTTGTATTAGGTGTTATTTTGTAAAAACCATGCCTCTCCAAACTGCACTGCACCCATAATAACAGTCTGACTTAGCATGGTGAATTATGAAAAACATCTCATACATTTTTTGGTACCTAATAACCATTATATATTGAAGGTATACCATAATTATAGGTAGTCTTTTTAATTAAGAGCTTGCTTTTATGGTTATTAGCTACAGAGATGTCATACAGTAAATCTGCTGTTATCATGAGTCATGTTATCATGAGACACGAGATCTTTCATGTAATTATGAGCTGCAGAACACAAAAGATGATGCATTTGAGCTAAAGACATAAAAAGAGTGTGTGACATTTCTTTATAATGAAGAATGTGCAGATTATAGAGGCTGTGGACACTGGTTTTTGGCAGAATTTTTATAATGTTATTTTTGCACAGAACAAGGTCTGTAGAGTTCCTCCCTTATTTATTACATTGAAAGATTGTTAGAAAGGGATTTTAATGGCTGGTATGAACAGGAGGAGTGATTACTACAGCAAAAACAGTTTCACTGTTCATATAGGCACGGGGCTTTTATTTGAAAAATGTGAACTGATGCTTCAAAGATTTATAAGCATGACATGTCAGGCAGGACTCTCTTCTCTGATGGACAAACTACACACCAGCAACACTGCTTCTACGTTTTTATGGAATTTCTGTACCGCAGTTTCTTGTTACTTACTGGCCAACATGTATGCTAACAGTAACACATCAGCATTAAGATACAGTAATAATTGACCAATATATTGATCCAGCTCTAGTAGTTTTTTCTAAAATTCCAGGTTATCCAGCACTTCCTGAGTGTCAGCTGTTACACTGAGTTCACCCAAAATTTCACTTAATTCATAATTTCTTATAAACTAAGTTAAAAATACCAAAACACCGCTGGTTATATTCATGAACATCTGCCAAACAAGGTACTGTACCTTTTGTGTAGAAAAAGCAGCACTTGTCAGGCTTATCATAATAAAGAAATATGTCATCTGAGTGCAGCAACATGGATTTGTAAGAGTTTCTTGACAACTATGAAGTTGGCATAAAGATACAAGCTGCATGACTACCAGGCCGTGGCTGTTAGTAGGATCAGGTCATCGTTAGTGTTCATACAGGCTGTTAATAGTAAAGATGATTAAACCATGTTATTCTTTAAGAAGTCACCTTTCCTCATATTAGGTCTTCAAATAATATTGGGATGAAATTCTTCCATCTTAATGGAAGAATTTCATGAGTTTCCTAAAAAGGACGGCATCAGCTAAAAAATAAGGCTGACCGCTAGTATTAAATTATTGCATCTTCGATCATGTAGCGTAACAAGCTGGTCTGCATTTAAAGAGCAGTGAAATCAGGCCACTCATTGGCTCGGTTTGCTGTTGTTTCAAGTAATAGGATTTTAGGTCTTGTTATCAGATTAAATGAGGCGTGAGGATGAACATTTCTCTGCAGCGAAGAATTCCGAGCCAGATGAGGGGTTATTAGGTTGATAAAAATAATGAGGAGGATAATGAAGCGAGACCTCAGTGCCTGACTTTTATCACTAACTGCTTGTTGTCCTCTGCTCTGCTCAGCAAGGTGCACATCACAAGGACCACCCTGGAGTGTTTGAACGGAGACTATGAGGTGGAACCAGGCTTCGGACACGAGAGACACACCTTCCTCCAGAAACATCACATCGAGACTTTCTTCATTGTTCCATCACACAGACGCAAAGTACACCAGCATTTTCTTTCTTTATCTTGGCAGCGTGCAGCTCGAGAGGCAACACATCTATCAGTGCTATAATAGCTAATCCTCTGATACAGAGAGGGAGGCGGGCTATGTGTTACACTGGCATACACATGCCTAGTATCACTATCCCACACCAACTGTGCATGTGCACCAGAGCTGTTTGTGTGTGTCTATTCATAGCATTTTTAAATCCTCAAGATAAATGCATGCACAAAGCAGATTCTGATTCCGATGCACAAAGCACTCGTACACACATATAAACACTTGAAACCTATATCCAGGTTTATAACGCAACTCTCACAGTTTAGTGAAAAAAAATCTCACTCAAGTCTGCTTTATTTCCATGAATGAGATGATTCTCAAAAGAAACTTAAGAATCATCCTCTCATGTTCTAAGGATGTCACCACTCCTGCCATGCTTTATTTCTCCCATCCAGTATCTTTGACTTCCAGATATTTCCAGGTCTGATTCTGTCAGACATCAAACCAGCCAAGAGGATGAAGTTTAAGACCGTGTGCTACTTGCTGGTGCAGCTGATGCACTGTAGGAAGATGTTCAAGGCTGAGATCCCCTTCTCCAACGTCATGACCTGCGAGGACGACGACAAGGTATGTGACGGCTGTTTAACTCTTTACAAACTCATGTTTTTTATGAAATGGGTGACTTTTTGTGTATGTATCTACTGCACAGAGTTGATATGAATATTTTTAGGTCACATAGTAAAGAAATCCCTTTAATGGGTTGTATGTGAAATTCTCTTTGGATTCCTAATCTGCCACACACACACACACACACACACACACACACACACACACACACACACACACACACACACAGTTCTCTAGATTTATATTTTTTACACACACACACACACACACACACACACACAGTATTCTAGATTTTTAGATTTTGTAGCATTGTAAGTACAACTGCATGCCTGCATTACAACTACTTACTGAAAAGTAAGCGAGTCCAATTGACCAACCTTTGACATAATTTCACTGCTCTTAAGCTTGTTGAGTGTGTGTGCATGTGCATACAGCTGTACACTCAGTGCTTGTTCATAAGTCACTCATTATCTCTCTGGCTGCGTTTACTTTGAAATCACTATAACGCAGCAGTGACTTGTCACGGTGCTGCTGGTTTGTTCCTCGGTTGGCGTTTGGTGATCGGTGGCGTGGCATCACAGGGTTTACTAGGTGTAATCTGCCAAACAGGGTGAGCTCGGCCAGGCATTAGTACGTCATGATTGTGATGGGGCTGCATTATGACTGCTGGTAATCATCCACAGCCTGGGATCAGCCCCTCTAATAGCATTAGCACATGATTATCCAAGTAGCCAAAATCCCAGCATTGTGACAGAGTGGAATTTTGTAATGGAATTACAATCTGCAAGTTGTTTGCGACAAAAGACATTAAACTGTATGACAGATTATAAATTTTAAAAAGCAGATTTTTGATGGGTAAGCAACCATTACTATCTGAAGAGCTCTGCCTGGATCACAAAAACTATTTGAGCCCTTTACAAGCAGGTTCCACAGACTATTGGTGAAATAGCCAATCAACAGTTCAAAGAGAACTAAATCCAATTCAGCTTTATTGGTCAGGTGTGTCTATAATGAGCATTCATATGTTTTACCAGAGGATGACTGCTATAGGCTACTTATGATTAGACTAAGCTGTACTTTACCTCTCCATTCCCCATTAAAATAATACTTTGGTGCACTGATAAAATTATAGAACTACCAGACGATAGATAACACTTGACATGTTGTATTTATTGGCTAATGCCATTTCCAACAAAACTGGTTGTGTAGTGGAGGAAAAAAATCCACTGCCATGTGTGGGCTTACTTAAAAATAGAGTATCTATAAATAGCTTCGCAGGCCTCTCCTCCCTGTGTTTGTGCAAATGAGATAAATAGCCAAAATGTCATGAAAAAACAAAACGTGTATGCGAGTAGTGCCTGGATGGCCGACATATCTTCATAGTAAATAGAAGCAATGGACACTGTACTATCCCACAATGGTGACAGGGCAGGCTCAAAGCTGATCAAGCTCAAGGCTAATTATGCCACTTTATTAGGTTTTTGTATTTCTTCAGTCAAAAAATAACCATCACGTTTTTGAATGTGTGATCAGTAAATCCAAGTAATGCCAATTTAGAGATTTGCTCAGACATTTTCGGAGATGTGCTCAGCTAGCTATCTCTACTTAGCAGCATAACTGTAGCCACTGAGCCACTAGAGATGGGCTAAAGAGCCACATGTGGCTCAGGAGCCACAGGTGCTGACCCCTGTCCTGTAACTGCAACTGTACAGATGGTTACATTTCTTGAGTGCCATTACTTGATATGAATAATTATTGCATCCCTCAAAAGCTGCACATTATATGAACTATTACTTTAGCATTTTTGCACACTTATTAAAGTTCAAGCTCTATATGAGATAACATTGTAGCAAATGTCTATTATGTCCTGTAGTTTATTTTTTAATTAAGCTAACACAATGTACTAGTGGTGTGCCATTATTTATTGTGTAATGTACAAATCATTGTGTTTCAAGGTGTGTAAAAGCACTGTTTACTTTGCACTACAATAGCAATCTATGTACTGTCTCTCTTTAAAAAATAATATTGTCTTGCCCCATTGGTATTTTGAAGAGAACTACCTCAAGACTTTAAGGATGAAAATGAGACAAAATGACTTGTTAAGATGGATGTAGACTCTGCAGGAACAGAACAGCGTAGGAGCAGAATTATATTATGATCTTTGTACCACCCCCAGTGAGGCTGCATGATTGAATGAGAGAGGCACTGTGGCACAAATTGTATGGAATACACTTTATAACATTACTGTTGTACAACATGTGGTAATTTCAATGTGAAACAATAACTAATGAAGCTTTACTTCAAATATACTCCTCAGTACAATTAGTTGCAGGGTTATTTTTAACATGGGCTTTATTTTACTTGTTTATAGCATCATGACAACCAAGCTTCATGAAATGCATCTCACCAGGATGCACCCACAGGGCCTATGCAAACGCCATTAAACCCAAAAAGCAATTAAAACACCCCCCCTCCCCCCATGACCCTCTGCTGCCTAGAGCCCTTCTGTTGTTACTCCAGTTTCTCCACCCTGTGTTGTCAAAGTACAGTCTGTAAATCAGCCCCACCTGCCACCTAGCCAAGGTTAGAAGAAGGGTTTTTCCAGCCACCAGTAGTCATGTCAAATGGCCATGGAGGAGCTGTGGGCAACTAAAAGTCTGAACCAGCAGCTTCCAGAGTGAAGAGGTGGCATCTTTTGCACAGAGAGAGTGGAACAAAGAAAGAGCAACAACCAGGGTTAACATGGGTTTGGCTGTTTGACAGGGAGATGGTTGTTTAGTTATAATGAAGAATAACTGAGCCTGGGATTTTCGAAATGACCCGAGTATAAACCCTTAATTTATCCTTAATCAATCTTATGCCGGTCCAAACTGGGACGACTTTGCACTAATATCTTACAAATAAGCAATACTCCCAAACTTGCATTTCTTATTTTCAGTTTGTGCAGAATGCTATTCATTAATAGCTGTCCAGACGTAAGAAAAGACACCCACGTTCTGCTGTCCACTGGCTCCCTGTGCGGTGTCAAATCATGCTCATAGTCTTATTATTTGGTATGGTACATTAGAGCTTTCAACCAAAGGATTAAAATAAAATGATATTCATTTTATTCCCTTGAGTTTTTTATGCTTCTCACACAACTATACTGTCAATGCAATCTAGTGTCGTAGTTTCATGTAAACATTTTACTTGCTTACTTTCTGTTTACTATAAAATGTATTTGTGTATATGAATTGTGTGTACATATACGGTATATTTGTGTACTTGTCTTGTGGCCGTCACTGTATCACAAGGCTGATAGAGGCAGAGTCCCCAATTAACCTGCATGTCTTTGCACTCACTAACCATGGTACCGTGCTGCCTAAAGTGCTGTATGAATAAACCTAATTTAGCTGCCAGCCGTCACTTAAACATTATCTTTTCATATGTTTAATGGGACAAGCTCTCTCTTTTTGTATTTCATACATCAATTTAGTTGTCTGGGGTGTAATATGTATTACTGTATATCCCCACATGGTGAGGCCAGCATGGCAGCTAGTTAATTCTTACACTCCTGAACACTGAGCTCACAAACCTGCATTCCTCTGCCTCGCATTGTCAGTAGCGGCAAGTGATTGTGTTATTTTTTTGGGTCTCTGACAGCGGCGAGCCCTGCGAACTGCATCGGAAAAGCTGAGGAGTCGGACATCTTTCTCAGCCCCTGCCGTGCAGCACTCACCAGGAACACGAGTCAACCGCTACATCGGGAGGCTCATCGAAGCGCGGCAGACAGAGTCTGAGACATCAGACCTCAACTACATCACCCTGTTCTACAGGAGCAGAGACAGGGAGCGCAGGGTGAGGACGCGCACACATGAACACACACTGAGCATCTGTAGAGAGGCCAGAAGCATGGATTTTGATTTACAAATGGATATAAAATGGAACAAATATATACTTCCTCACAACACATATGGTAACATGCTTCGTGACTGCATCTCCCCTCATGTTATTCTCACACACACACACACACACACACACACACACACACACACACACCCTGCACAGTCTCTAAATCTCTTTGTCCTCCTCTCCCACGCCTGTTTTCTATAATGTCTGTGCGCGTGCATGTATGAGGAATCCACCCACCCTCTCAGGAGGGGGTGCAGATAATGATTTGGGAACGTCTGAGCAGCACACTTGATATCTCTCTCCTATGTGTGCGTGGGTAGAGCCATAAAAGGAGACAGAAAACAGAGTTGTGTGTGTCTGTGTGCAATCTACACATTCATACTGGTAGCAGAAGAATTAAAACCCCACACAAAGTAAAAACTAGTTATTTGTGTCTCAATTTAACTTATTTTAGATGTCTGATCCTTCAGCCACCAGCGGATTAAAATGAAGACACAAATTATTATAAAGTGTTATTTTTTTACTCCCACACAACTACAGTAAAAGACGATGCTGGCAGAGTTCAAAACACTTCACTGTTGCACAGATTCACATCAAACGGCACAACAGATCTTGAGAGGTTTTTTTGATTTCTACATGAGAAAGAGAGAACCATATTTTTGGAGCAGATGTTCATGTATTTTACAGTAGCTTCTTTAGGACAAGCAAACTTGAAATGCATGGATGCAAAATACAACATTAGCTCTAAAGAAAATCCTTTCTCATGCAGAAGTAAAAATAACTTCTGTGTCTATGTTCAAGCCACCTGGACAAAGACCTCCAGTGGCTCCAAAAGATGTAGATTCAATATGTGTCAGTTGTTTGTTTTTGTAATTTGATTAACTGTATTAGGCCACATTCAGACTGAGTTTCAAAGGTGTGGGGAAAACGCAGCCCTCTTCATTCACTTCTATGGGGGGTTGCATTCACTGCAGCCAGCACAAGTACCGTGGCTTTCCATTGGATTCGGTTCAACTTTTGGATAAGGATAATCGCCTTTATTTGGCCAAGTATGTTGCACACAAGGAAGTTGTTTCCGGTACAGAATTGCGGCAGCCATCTGCGGCACCAACTCACACCAATGGAAATTTGGGGGTTCGGTGTCTTGCCCAAGAACACCTCAACATGTGGACTGCAGGCACTGTGATTTGAACTTCCAACCCTCTGGTTGGGAGACGACTGCTCTACCTGCCGAACCAAAGTGCACTATCTGGGGCAAAGGCTCTGCATTGACCGATCACGTATGGGGGATGGTCGGAATGTGGACACCCACAGGAAGAAGACTTTTGTTTACCTTGTTAGCATGAGCATTCACTACTATTTACTCTCAAATCTGGGCCACGGTTAATGCCCAATAATGACATGCTGTGCGTTTTCATTAGTTAGGGTACTGGATGTTAAACGATGCTTTTCATCTACCAATGCCGACATATTGGTAGAAGAAATTGGCGCCAATAAGGTAGAGTGGGCTACGTTAGCAGCATGGCTAACCAAAACACAACCAAAACTCAGGAACTAGAGATGTGAGTGAAGTCACTTGCATCTACTCGTCAAATGTGGCCATATCGTATAAACACTCCCTCTGCAACCCCCTCACCCCCCAGTCAACACAGCCCCTTGCATAAAAACACAGCAGGGAGTTATGTTTTACTGTGCTCAGTCTGAACGCCCACTTATTTTCATCAAATAACAGAAGACTTCACTATTTCAGTGTAGGAGAACTGCTGGGTTTCTGGGTCTGTGTACAAAATCTAATGAAGCTGCTTTCTATAGTATAGTGTGCTGTGTGCACTGTACTTCATGGGAACTTGGAGCCCAACAGCAGATTTTTGCCCCTGGGCCACCAAACAAGTAAACCCAGAGGAGGCTGTGGTATGTGGTGAGATCAGTTCTTAAACAATATACAGATACAAACTAAGTGTCATGTAGCTTTGCAGGGGAGCAGACACACACATCCCAAATCTAAACATGGCGTATGAATATAAGCTTCAACTGAGCTGTTTGTTCCATTGGAAATGGAACAGAAAGCACAGGGAAACCTTCTACTTAAAATGTAAAAATGAGTATCAAGAAACAGCCATGAGCTACCATGCAGTCCTTTCTCAAATATTCCTCTGCACATTGGATGTCCAAAAGAGCACATCCACTCTAAATGGAAAGCTGTGGCCCTATGACATATGTCACATTTATGCATTTAGTGTGTAAGCAGGGTTGGGATACCGTGTGCAAAAGAACATTTTTTACTCTCCATATGCATCTGAAAGGGTGGAGTGCTTCTTCTGTTGACATGTTCTTTGCTTTGTCCTTTCTTAGTATCACCAGGTGTATGACGACCATTTCATCAGCGCAGTGGTTCTCTCCCTCATCCTCGCTGCCTTATTTGGCCTCATCTATCTGCTAATGATCCCACAGTAAGTACATACACACTCTCTCTTCCACATTTGCAGTTCCTCCATTCGTGTACCATAATTGGATCGATCATGCCAAGAGCATGGTGAGACAATTACAAAGGAAGGTGTTTCCACTGCAGTCAGTGGGAAAACTGGGAAAGCCCTTCTCACTCTGGTCTCTCCTCTCTCAGGGGGATGCTGGTGCTGCTGCTGCTTGTGCTGTGTGTTTGTTTCCATGTGGCCTGTGTCATGTACCTGCATCTCACCAGTGTTCAGGTAGGACTCCCCGACTTCTTCCAGAAGGGTTCTGCTCTGAAACCTCTTGAAAATAAAAACTATATATATTTTTGCTCAATCTTAAATAACTATTCAGTCCTTTTATTTTATTGTATTTAGCCAAGATGAATGAAGCCAAACAAACTCATTTATTTTGTTTTCATCTGACAAAAAATGGGCTGCCAGTGTCAGGCATCTCTTCATGTTCTTTGACAAAGTTTATTTGTATAGTTTTGTGAGTTTTGTGATTGTCCTTGTGCCAAGTCAAAAGAACTTGGCACCTGATGTAGTCATTTCTTTGTACATAGATGAGTGTCAGTCACGTTGGAGCGACCATGATGGTGACCATGATTTCCGTGTGCTTTGACATCACATTCTTAACCTCTATATGACACCGTGTTATCGTGCTACATTGGACTGGCTCCTCTAATAGACTTGCACTTAATAGGCCACACCATGAAATTCATTTCATTTCCACTCCTGCCTAGATGATGTGTCCAAAATGCTACTGAAGTAAATAAACAGGTGCTTCATTTACTAACTAGTTCTGTTCTGCAACCCCTTCCCCACCTCCTCCCTTCTCTGATTTTAGTGCCAACCTGGCTGCCTCACCATCCAAATCCGAACAGTGCTGTGCATCTTCCTCGTGCTGCTCACCTACTCTGTTAGCCAGGCCTGTGTGGTAGGTCTGTGTTAGACCCAACCAGTGTTTGTATACATATATTTATCTGTAGAGCATAATTACAGAACTATATGACAATCACAGTGGTTAAAACACACACACAGACACACACACACACATATATATATATATATATATATGAATGAAAATATGAAAGTTGAGTTTTGTCCTTGGAAGCAATTAACAAGAACATCTTAATTCCAAGTTCTCTTATGAGCATTTTCATCGTGAGATCATCTTGTCCCTGGCAGGAGCAAGACATGCAGTGGGCCTGCTTTGTAGTATGCTGTGATGGCACAAAATGGATTAAAGGCCTGAATAAAAACAGTGAAAAAGAACAGAGTGCATAATGCAGAGAAAGGCACTTGAGTTAGATGAGTCTGAAACAGTGTCATCATTTCATTGTTCATCCAGCAGGTTACACAGTTTACAAGTCTCTGCAGTACATGAGCTGGCAGAGCAACGCATCACAGCCGAGCAGATGGTGCTCCAGAGTCTCAGAAGAATAAAGCGTTTATCTTTCAACTGTAAAATACCCATTAAAATATTATAAACGCAAATTGGCTAGTGTCAGCATCAGGCCTAGAGTGTGTGGGTGTGTGACTGTGTAAAACAGAACAAGGACAAGGTACTGTGATAGAAACGTGATGAAGGGATGGCCCTGCAAAGCTCTTGATGATTTTTACTAGTTAATCTAGTCACTGATTATTGATTAAGTTGACAAAATGTCAACAAAAAGCCAGAGGAACCAGAACTTATGTGACAACTTTCTTATTTTGTAAATCAAATTCTAAAAAATTCCAAAGATACTCAGTGTCCTTAGTTAAATGCTAATGCAAGCATACAAATGCTAATGACAGTGCTAACATGCAGATGTTTATCAGGTATATTTAAAAAGTTAATCATCTTGGTTTAGCTTGTAAGAATTCTACCATTTGCTAATTAGTGCAAAAATACAACGTACAGCTGAGACTGATGGGAAAGCCACATTATGTGCATGTACTGTAAGAAAAGTAGCGAATAAGATGAGATTAGAAACTGGTGATGGTGCTTCCAGTAGTCCAAAAGTTTCTTCCAATAGTTTTTGAAAGTAAATCCCACAAGTCTGGTCGTTCACTTTGGTCCAGACTGAAACAAATTATTTATAGAATTTCTGGATGGACTGCTATAAATGTTCCCCTCAGGATGAATTTTTATACCTTGCATGTTCCCTTAACTTCATTGTGTCATCACTGTATTAAAATATGCAGTATTGCAATATTATTCACAGTTTTGCAGAGTTCGATAAAAGGATCAATGCCACTGTCATGACCCTGTTAAATATGAAGCTACAGCCAGGAAAAAAGTCAACAAAAACCTCAACTTAAATTTACATGTATCTTTTTGTCTTGTTACTTGATTAACATAAACCATTATTCAGTCATCAATACTGTCATCAGCTCAATTAATCATTCTGTTGACTGATTAATCAGTTACTTAAAGCTACTCTACCTAATGTCTTTTCAGTCTAGGAGGTTGTTGGTCCAGTGAGATTCAAAACTAGCTGACACCATAAGCTGCTCCTAACCACTCTGCCCCTCCCATCACATCCTGTTTTCTAGCAACAGTGTCAACTATGGATGCCTGGTTAGGACAAACTGTCCAAACTGCAGCCCCAAGTCTGAAGCTAGAGTTACCTGACTAACAGTAAATGTATCAGTCCAGTAGGACGCTCTGGTTATCGTTAATGTGACACAAAGGACTGACATTACACAAAGCTTACTCCAAAATTAAAATCCTATTATTTCACCACAAAGATAAAGTCCTGACCATGCTAGGTGGCTAGTGTTACCAAAACAACCATATTTTCTTTGATAATGTTACCAAAACATTTTAGCTGCAAGACTTAGCTGTCCAGAGCTCCTCCGTGGCTGTTTGACATGACTACTGGTGGCTGGAAAAACCCTTCTTCTAACCTTGGCTAGGTGGCAGGTGGGGCTGATTTACAGACTGTACTTTGACAACACAGGGTGGAGAAGCTGGAATAACAGCAGGAGGGCTCTAGGCAGCAGAGGGTCATGGAGGGTGGGGGTGGTAGCTGAGGGAAACCATGTCCTGTCCCACTGTCACTAGGTTTATCAATGTGGGAAATTTTAGTTAGCACCTTTAACTGGCTGTTCCAGCACTATGCCAGCTCTTCACTGTTTTATATATAACTCACTTCATTTTCATCCATTTCATTCCTGCCTCCAGGTGGGATGTGTTCCTTGGGGGAGAGTTGGGCCAAACTCCAGCCATTCTGTGGAGGAGGTCCCTGCAGATGTTCTTGGGGTCAGACCCTCAAACAGCACAGCGGCAGACAGAGCCTGTCCCAACATGGCGTATGCTCTGCTGTCCTGTGTGGCCGGCACCCTCACCATCATTCCCTACCTCAGAGTCTCCTCGCTCCCCAAGATCTTCCTGCTCCTCCTCCTCTCTGTCACCTACACTGTTGTCATGGAGACCAGCAGCTATCGCCAAGCAGTGGGGTAAACTTTAGCTGCATGTGTGGTGTTGTTTAAATGCTAAAGATGTGTGTTTGTGTTCCAATTTTGGTCCACTGTATGTATGCATGCATAGGTGAACTACTGAGCAGGCCAACCAGACATAGGCCCAGGGGCCCCAGGGGGTCAGGGGCCAAGTGGCAGTTGGTATTTCTTGTTTGAAAGTCACAGAACTTTCAAACTGAACAACTATCTCAAAATGATATAAAATGGGTGCACACAAACTACAAAGCGACCCCAAAGCACTGAAGACAGACACAAAATGACCGCAGGTTTTTTTGGTGTGTATGTGGATGTGTATATATACACACTGTGTTTTTGATTAGTATTTCTTCACTGTGGTTTTAATTTGCCGGTTCAGGAATTTTTGTGTTAATCATTACAACAAAGTTAATAAAATATAAAGAACCAGAGCAGCCATGTTGTTTCTGCGTGTCTGTCTTCCAGCGGTGGTTTCTTCCACACCCGTGGTTATGACCCCGTGTTGGCAGTCTTGTTGTTTTCTGGAGCTCTGGCTCTCCATTCAAGACAGCTGGACCTGAAGCTGCGGCTCGACTATCTCTGGGCTACTCAGGTATATTTAGCTCACTCGCTACTGCTTATGTCTGCACAAGGGTTTATATTTCTACATTCAGTACTCTTGTGTAATAAAAATAATTTCAGTGCAGTTCTCTTTGTAGCCTGTCTTCATCCTGCTGTTATGAAAATGTATTCATTAAAAAGATACCGACACTAATTTCTAATGTATTCTTCAAAGATGCTGATTTCTTATGGTCAAATTGTTCTTACTGCACTGAAAGATGTTTTCTTGTTTAAGGGCTCAGTTTTATGGAGAAATTACTTGATATAATGGAGATTTTCAGATCCACTGTGTGTGGGAGGTGTGTAGTTGTGTGCTTACATGCACAGTCTTTTGCAGTCTCAGTGGATCATGACAGCGTGTACGTTTCTATTTTTGACTGTGAACGTTTCTCTTGTGTGCAAATCATTATCTCCCTCTAGTGATAAGGACAAGCAATTACATCTAGTCTTTGAGCTTCAGGCCACAATAAAGGTTCATTGTGTTGAGACAGCAGAGCATCACTTTCAGTTTGGATCTCCATTCTCTCTGTTGAAACCCTCCTCCTCTTCTCCACCCGTTTGTTGTGTGATTGCTGTTGGCGTCCAGGCAGAGGAGGAGAGAGATGACATGGAGAAGGTGAAGCTGGACAACAAGAGGATCCTGTTCAACCTGCTGCCGGCTCATGTGGCTCAGCACTTCCTCATGTCAAACCCCAGGAACATGGTGAGCATCCACAGACATGTTCAGGCTCGTCCCACGAGGATCTAAAAAGAGTTAACACCCTCTCTGAAACTCCCTGGAGGTGCTGGTTTGGTGATTTACAGGTCAAACAATGTTTAGACTTAGATTGTTTAATCTGAGTCATTTAAAGGCCTGAAGAGGAAAAACTGCAAAGTATTTACAAGGAATAACAAAGACCATGGAAAAGTATGACAAAAAGCAGCAACATAATTTTGAATAGGAGAATTTCTTATGGTGCTGTTTATTAATATTACTGGTTAAGTGCATTATTATTACATATATTAATAGAATGCTAATTTATCCTTAATCTTACAGACAAGAACAGTAATTCAAGATCTGCTTGCTGCTTCAAGGTTTATAAGGATGAGACGAGCTGGGGCGATTCCTGACTATGTTAAGTTAATGGTAACTGTTTTAACAGCATATTTCAATTGAAAGCAAGTTTTAACTGCGTGTTGAAAAATGTTGACACACACACTCACAGTCGCTCCCGTAGTAGTTGCAAATAAAATGGATTTATTTGTTTAACCGTTTGTCTTAAACTTGATTACAAAATAATAAAACACAGTAAATGCTTGTGCGTGTCCACAGACTATGCACAGTTCCACAAGTTTGCATCACCTTCCACAAAAACGCGATCAGAAAACCGGTGTTGTCTCCCTATCAAGATGTGTTTCCACTAATCTGAACCCTAACCTTGTCCTAACCGTAACCACTAACATAATAAGGCAGTAAATGTAACCACATGTCAACATGTAAATATTAATATTTAGCAGCAGTATTAATGTTGGCTCCCACAATCTAGACAATGGTTCAGCATTTACTTGATGGCCTCCAGTATCATTGTGTAAACTGGTGGGTCAGCTTTGATGTTACACATCAGAATTAAGCATATTTAGCATATTAGCTCAAAATTGTGGCTAATTGTATAGCAGCATAATGAGAAAGGGTGGTTCAGGAACATTTTGGGTTGCAGCAGACTTGGGTCAGAATTAAAGAACTTTACTCTACTGCACTTCCATAAAGGTTGGGCTTAAAAGAATGATGGTCAAAATCACAGGTGCACAGGCCAAGATATCCAAACTTTCAGTACATAAGTGTGAATCAAACTCCAAAAATACTGGATCCCACATTTCCCACAGTGCAGTTCAACAGCCTCTTTACATTAGGCCCAGTTTTTCTGGTAAACACCCATGTCAATCTTCGTGCACCTAGTTTGTATCACAGACTTTCTGTTAAAGATTTAAAGTCTACAATCCAAGCTGAAATAACATAACATTGTTTTATCTTTTCATCATTATCAACAAACCCTGATCAAAACCACATTTAGTGCCACAGTTAGCCTGTGCCACTGTGCCAAAAAACACACAAATGCACTTTTTGTTTCATTGAACATGGACATTGTAGTTTATTCTCCAGGACTACAGTTTGGACTATATGAAGCATGCTCTGGATCACGGGTCACACTGCTTTGCTAGTCGGAGCTGAAAGCAACAGGCTACACTGGTCCTGACTAATGTATAGACGGTACATTAGTAGGTTAAATTCATGGTCGGGTTTGAGCTTATTGGGGACTTTGTTAATAGAGATAAAAAGATGAAGTATCCTTTAACAATCTGTGGGCTATGCATTAGACGGTGCAGGGATCATCTGAGGCTGAGACTAGCAAACACGGGGGGCAGGAGGAAGTATGTTTCCGGCACACTGATGACCCCCCCACTCCGGGGGACTTCACTGTATATAAAGGCTTCCTCCTGGCTCTGTGCTAAAGGTCACCCATACACTGTATTCCTAACACAACACAGTGGGATGCTGCTGCCTGAGTGTTGCACCGCTCCAACAGAATACTTACATAATAACTGAACAATCATTTTCACTGCATCTGAAACTATGGCGCTTACCTATTATTAGTACATGGGCAATATTTAAGGTGATGGACAGAGCTTTCATCCTTTTCAATGCCTTTTCAATCTCGCATCCCTTCTCATAGTAGGGATGAAAAAACCCAAACACCAAACATACTTTCTCACTTTCCTCTACTATATTTGCTTTTCTTTTGGCTTGACAGTTATTGCTTCAATTAGAACCAAGAGGGTCCCAGTACCATTTAGCCCTTCTAGATTAGTTTTTGTTACATGCTTGCAGGACTTGGCAGCTGATTGATGATGCAACTGTAATATGGTTGTCAGAGACAATGACAATAAAGCTCTTAAATCTTAAGCAGCAGCTTCAATATGTGAAGCTTTTTTGTTCAGCAGCATCTCAAATTATCCTGCATGAAATCTGTTTCTATATAAAAATACTCATAAATTCATAAGGACCTTACAATATGTGCAACAAGGATACATGTTTTTTGTCCAATGTATGCAAGTGTAATTTCCCTAGTAGGTGTCAGCAATACCAGTGGGAAATACAGCATTTATTGGCCTAGAGAGAAATTACAACCAAGAGACTGTAAAAGCAATGGAAAAAATGTTCTGGACTCATTTCCATCTGTGAAGGAATTGAAATGTCATTTGAGGGTATTCACAGGAGTTACCAGTATGCAATAAAAAGTACTGGTACTCATATGGGAATACATTCAGGACTTTTATTGTATAAACTACTTTTTTTATCCCCCAGTACATACTGACATTGTGGAAACAAACCAGGTGTTCTCATTGGAACTACTGATCTCTACTGAAAAAACAATCCTTTTAAAAACTGCTGAAAGTTTGTTCTGTGGAGTGTGCAGAGTAAAGCGTAAACTATAAATGTCTGTTCAAAATTTTTTATTCGATTTTTTTTTTCACATCTCTGAGCACAAAAGTTTCTTAAACATCCATCAAACTGGCAACAACGGTGCCAACAGAAATGTCAAAACCAAAGACCATAAGACCAAAGCTGCCTGTGTGTCTAGACACCACCGGTGCCACGATGAAAACATGTTTTATTTTCTCATTACTGACTAACTAATCCAGGTTCAGTGGTCAACTTACTAGAGTTCTGGATCTTTCAACCACATTCTAACACTCGTCTTCAGCAGTTGGCACAGGTGTCCTCATATGACCACTGAGTGTGACATTTCAGTTATGCCATTAACACTCATAGCCGACCGCTTGTTACCATTTGACCAAAGTTCCACACTTAACCACAAGTCATATGATGACACCAAGTCAGCTCATTTCACTGAAGAAGACTGATGTGGTTGAAAGCTCCAAAAAAACTAGCAAGTAAACTACATTTTTTGGTGCCTTTGAAAACCAGAGTTACAAGTTGCTTCACATGTGCACATAAAACACAGCCTTGTATATTACTAAGAAAAAATTTCCATGCTCAAATATTTATTTGAAATTTGGGTGAACTGACCCTTTAGTGCCTTGTGATTTCTGCTTCACAAAGCAACATTCTTTGCCCTCTTTTTCTTTCTTTTTTTTAATTCTGGTGATCATTACAGTGCAGCTAGATTAAGCCATTTCAACTAATATAAACCTCCTCCCCTCCAGGACCTGTACTACCAGTCTTACGCTCAAGTTGGAGTGTTGTTTGCCTCCATTGCCAACTTTAATGATTTCTACATCGAGCTGGACGGGAACAATATGGGAGTCGAGTGTCTGAGGCTGCTCAATGAGATAATCGCGGACTTTGATGAAGTGAGTCAAACACCTCATAAATCTGCAGTTTTTATATATTTTTCTGGCAGGATTTATGTTGGCCTGCTCTGCCACTGGAGAGTCTAGAGGGGAACACTGGTGCAGTTCATTTTCAAAGTTGTGGCCATGACTGTGAGTTTAAAAAAATACTGTTAATGCAATGTAATAAGCAATGGTCACAGTCTGGAAGGTTCTTCACAATAAGGAATTACTTACAGATGACATTTGGCCTGTTGAACACATAAAGCATTAATTTACTCAAACACACAAAGTGCCAGTACAACTTATGATATACTGTACTTGTCCTTAAACTGACAGTTTACTCCAATCTGATTTGAAAATTGTAATAATTGTAATGTTTTTCTTTCAGCTGATGGATAAAGAGTGCTACAGGGATATAGAGAAAATCAAGACTATCGGCAGTACGTACATGGCGGCAGTAGGGCTGGTTCCTACAACTGCCTCCAAGGTACACGTGCATTAGCTATGGTTAGATATTGTGTGAATTTTTAGTGTGTGTTTGCAGCATATTAGCAGGTTCAGAATGTACATGACTTTTTTTTGTGAGGCCCAGTATTTTCAAGTAGCTGTTCTCTTGGTGTTGATGTTTAGGCACATTTCACTCCCCAAATCTTCTGTGAAGGATTACAAGCCTTGGTGGCATCAGCATGTTCTGCATTCATAAAGTTTCTTTAAATCCTGCAAAGTGGACAAACAAAAGAGCCCTTTCTACAATTTCTGCAGGCTGCAAACCTAACAATCAGTCACAGCGGTGGTTTGACTCTGGGGAAAACCTGGTGCAAACTTTTGTGGCGGTTGTAGATACTAATGTCACATCACACATTAGGGAAATGGAGGCTGGTATCACTTCCTACCTTTGACGTAAGCAAGCCTGTTTGTGCATAAACGTATTCTTTATGTGTGTGTTTCTGATGTTTAGGCGAAGAAGTCCATCACCTCACATTTATGCACAGTGTCTGACTTTGCCATCGAGATGTTCAATGTCCTGGATGCCATCAACTACCAGTCTTACAACGACTTTGTCCTGAGAGTAGGTGAGTGAAAAGGCACACACGTGTGTACACGCACATGGTGGTCTGTGTAAACACTGGTGTGAGTGCTCCTGACCTATTGAACTGGACACCGTGGATGCTTAGTGCCAGTAAGTTTAGTAGGAAATGCATCACAGAAAGAGCGCTCCCCTCCAGGAAGCTTGTCACGGCGAGACCTGGCCTTCTGGGTTCTATTGTGTTGGGTATCCTGTGGGGAGCTGGGACAGGAGCACTTGTTTAATCCCAGCACAAGCTGGTGTACACAGTGCCATCCTGTCTGCAGACCCTGGAGCTACATCTACAAAAGGTGCATGTGTTTGCATGGTCAGCTGTACCCACAAAACCCAAATACTGGTCATTTGTGTAATACAGCATTTCCAGAAAGCACAGAGAAGCTCTGTTTGGCTAGGTATGGCCTACATTTCCCATACTGCAGTCCACCCCTGGACCGCTGGAAACTCCAGAGGGTGGAGGGGCTGGTGTATGATTAGCAGTTCATTTGTGTTTATGCAACACCTTTCACATCCTTTCCTTTCCTGCTCTGGACTTTTTCATACTGGAAACAGTATGAGCTGATATGGGCTAAAAGTCACCCGACAGTTATTACTTATTTGAGTCCTGATGTAATTGCACCTTGCATATTTTAAAAGGCCATCATCTTGTCATCAGCTGCATAACAACACTGGTTCGACAAGGGCCTTGACTTGGTCCCAGTTCTGATGTTGACCAGTGACTTGCAGCAGGCACTACAGTATGTTACAAACTAAGCTCCATGTGACAATCAATCTGCTCCTTTAAATCTGGAAACTAGGAATTAGGCTTCACGTGTACAGTCTGATGACCCCGATGTTGTGAGCTCTCCTGTTACGGCCATACCAGGTATCAATGTGGGACCGGTGGTGGCCGGAGTGATTGGAGCCAGAAGGCCTCAGTATGACATCTGGGGGAACACAGTGAATGTAGCCAGCAGGATGGACAGCACTGGAGTACAAGGAAAGATACAGGTACAGTGCTGCTGTCACACTTTGCCTTTCTTCTTCTTTTTCCACTTTAATTTTACTTGGTATAATCTATTTTTCAAAAGAGACAAAGGACAGCACAAATACAGCTTTATGACAACAAATGTAATACACACAAAATAAGCAGGCCAACAAAGCTGTAACTGAACACAAAAGAGCACAGAGAAAAATCCGGTTAAGTTTTACTTGATGTATTTGAGTCAAAAACAAGTTTCCTCTTGCTGGATCTGAAAGGTCATTAGCTTAGCATATACTGTAGCAGGGGGACACAGTTAGCCTGGGCCTGTCCAAAAATACACCCACCGTCACCTTTGAGGCTCTCTAATAAACACTTTATATCAAGTTTGCTTAAATGGTACACAGAAATAAGAGTGTAAAAGTGTATGAATGCCTGAAGTTTTTCTTAATAAACAACAGCTGAACTTTGTGCAGGATCCAAATTCCTCTTGTCACATGGAAGTTGCCAGGTTTGGTACCATTATGACTACACAGAAACCAAAACCAGAACCTAGTCTCCATGAATTTTGCATCACCTGTGACAGCAGAAGTAGGATGATACCTGTGGTCCAACACTCCCTCAAACAAATTGTTTTACATTTATGTTTAAGTCAGGTGCTTTAGAGTTTTTGCTTGGACATGCTAGTTTCCCCTCGCTTCCAGTCATTTTGCTAAGCTGCTTTCCTGTATATTTGGCATACATACTTGAGAATGATATCAGTCATCTCATCCAATTCTCTGTGACAAAGTAAATATACAGTACCAAAAGAGCTACCTTTGTTTTCTATGCACAGACATTAGACACTTATCAGGTAACCCTCATCAGGTGATCGAGAAGGTCCATACAGTGTGTATGGACTTGGTGTAACCCAGGTGTCTATCCCAGGGAAAAGGCTGGTGTAATACATCATAAGTAACATCACACACCTCCTTCCTCCTTCAGGTGACAGAAGACGTTTATCGCCTCATCACAGAATACTACAACTTTGTTTGCCGCGGCCAGGTCAGTGTGAAGGGCAAAGGTCAGATGCTCACGTACTTCCTTGAAGGGCGCAGACAAGGCAGCAGACCATCTCAAATTCAGCAGCAGCCTGGAAACGCTGGGCATCGGTCGAGTGCGTTTGCCCACGGTACTGTGTGCACCAGGCTGAGCCCCGCCCCAAGTGTTGCCGCCTATGCTACGATCAGGACCCCGAGCCCGAGCACGGTCAAACCAACTGCCTCCACCAGCACCACCAGGTACCTGCCCTCTGTCCCGACAGCAATGGTGTGAGGGATGCTGTCTCCATGGTAACCATGGAAAACAAGAAAATGAGATTTGGAGAATTGCATGGATGGCAACAAGATGTCGCAGAGAGAGCTTAAACAAGAGGGAAGGTTGTTCTCCACTCCACTCTTCTTCTACTGTCTGCGAAACACAGAGAAGTTGATGCACCAATCGTCCAATGGGAGGCCTGGACTCGGGCCTGGACTGCTTTAGGCAGCCTCAATCAGACTCTCCCTCCACACTTGAGCCCTGCTTGTTGTTCCACACCACAGGTTGTCATGAACAGGATACAGGAAACTTTATCCACGTTGCTCTGTAATCAATCAAAGGCCAAGGATGTCTCCGGGATTTCAGAGTCGACTCCCAAAACTGTATCCACATCCAGAACAATCAAAATCGGCATCAAAATAAAAACACATTGCAATGCACAATTGATAGTGTAGCACGCAAGTCTCTCACCACAACAAGAGCATCCAGAAATTCTTTTAACTATTTCAGCTGACCCATTTCTCTCAGTTTGAAACCAAATCAGTGCTGTTGCCTTAGCAACTTCTCCTCACAATGAGTTTCTTGCCATTTTTTTGGTTGCATTTTTGATTGTTTATTGCTTTATTGGACACTAATTCAGGGGAATTAATTACAGGGGCATTGTTGTCCAAGAGTACACATATGATTTTAAAGTGGATGAAGCCAAATGTATAATTGTAAATGGCAGGTAATGGTATAAACTTGCCAAAATACAACAGGGCATTGCCTTCAATCATTTCTGGGTCAGTGATACAGTACATTTAGGACCCATCACTGAAACCCTCTAATGGCACACGAGGTAAACTCTTGATAACCTGAGCCAAGCCGCTCAGTGTCTTTAAGTGCATGATGCCACTGCTGCATTTCAGTCATGTTTGCTGTCCGTTTCCCTGTGATGCTTGACTTCCAGATTCTTCCTTGTCAAAGTGTAGCAATAAAGCGGTTTGTCTCCTATCTCAGCCTATTCACCCCTTGCATGCTGTAGCCAGCTGGACCCTATTTTGATCTGACAGTGTATGTAGCCGATAGAGTGTGCATAGCTAGCCACACCAGTCTGTATCTCTGTGGAGTTGAAGCATGACTTAGAAAACTTATTTTCTGTATCGTACGAGTGTGATTCCTTACTCATGGAACAATATAAAAAAATAAAAATAAAAAATCTTTTTTTCTGCATACCTGTTTATTTAAAAAAAGTTTTCTATTAACATATTATGTTCTACTATTTTTATGAACTAAAAGCTGCTTTGGATAGAAAAGAAAACTGTTGTTTTTGAGGAGACACCCAAACCTCTGTGTCTGGCCTCCTCATACAAACCCAGATGATTTATTTTATGGTATAGCATGCTCCTCACAGTATGGCTGACCGCAGCTATTAACTTTCCTCTAATGTATTCGAGCATGCACTGCCTGCAAGCCCGTGGCTCATGCATGCTCTGATTACAAATTTCAGGCCGAGCAGCGGACAGACAGTGACTCTGTTTAAATGTCGTCCTGATGCATGCGCTAAAGGTAGCGGTTCTCTTGAATGTACGGTGCTTTTTTTTGACCCGTCTTCTTCATGAACTTGGTGTGAGAACCTTTTTGAGGACATATTTCAGGATAGTCGGACATTGGGCCGGGGACTCCTCCTCCCTGCTCCTGCTGTAGTCAACAGGTAGCTGGTTTTCAAATGTGCCAACCTATTTTCATAAACATATCAAACTTTTTGTGTTGAGCTGTAGCACAACTGAACATGTGGCTACAGCTATTGTTGATTTCCTTTTGTTGAATGGCTGTATTTTTACTGTTTGAGCTGTTATTTAACAGTTTTGTAACTCAAAGTGATTGAAAGTGTTGATTTTGGAGAGATGACCTGGCTAAAATGATGTACTTTACATTTCTAAGAGGTAAAAATGAGAAGTTTTATACTCTTGCTTTAAAACATTGATGGAAAATGGATGGAAAGGAATGATGTACAATATTTTTTCCTGTAAATTGAATATTTTGATACTGTATGATACGGGTTTCAATTGTTATATGTAGGTATTACTAGCCATTACTGTACATTGTAGGGTCTTTTTCAGAGGACTATTATGAATGATGCGATATTTGTTGAGTTTTGTTGAAGATGTATTTGAAATGTTTTACGTGAATGTACATTTTGTTAAAGATGATATTTTATACTAAGTGTTTGCACTGCGATAATATTGACCTATTATAAAAATAAAGCCAGTAGGGACATCTCCTGGATTAAGAGCATTCTTCCTGTTTTCATTTTTACCTATACACACATGCATGGGGGAACCATCAAAGCCAGTTATACAATTACACAAAAGTAAAATAAGAAATGGCAGCAGATGTAAGAAGCTGAGGCTAAATGCTGTGGTAAATGCTCTGCAGAGAGGGCAGTGGAGTCCTGGTGATCTTCTCTGGAGTCTTTACCACTCTCTGCAGGCACTTGCGGTCCATAGCAGTGGTGCTGCTGTACCAGACAGTGATGCAGCTGGTCAAGATGCTCTCAGCGATGCAGCTGTAGAAGTTGGATTCTAGGCGACATGCCAAACCTCCTCAGCCTCCTCAGGAAGTACAGCCGCCGTTGGGCCTTCTTGACCAGCTGTGTGGTGTTATGTGTCCAAGTGAGGTCCTCACTGATGTGGACGCCCAGGTATTTGAAGCTGCTCACCCTCTCTACCTCAAGCCCCCAGATGAACAGTGGCCGATGAGATCTCCTCTCCTTCCTCATGTCCACTATCATCTCCTTCGTCTTGTCCGTGTTGAGGCTGAGATTATTGTCCTTGCACCATGACACCAGACCGGCCACCTCCCTCCTGTAGGCTGCTTCGTCCTCGCCAGTGATGCGACCTATCACTGCGGTGTTGTCCGTGAACTTTAGGATGATGTTGTCCTTGTAGGAGGTGACACAGTCATGGGTCAACAGGGTGTAGAGGATGGGACTGAGGACACATCCCTGGGGGGTGCCAGTGTTTGTAACAATGCTGGCTGAAGTCCTATTGCCAATCCTGACAGTCTGGGGCCTGC